TCCCCGCTTTCCTCCTCTAAATAAAAAATGGATGACGGAGGAGACTCATCCACGAACTCCGACACTAAACTCTCCTCCTCTTGCATGTTTCCTCTGTCCATAGCGTTCCTTGACAGCGTTGTTTCTAAGTCACCAGTTTACTTGGTCCCAATGGAATTTCCCATTCCGAACCTACTAGCACTAAGTTGCTAACTGGTTAGCAAGATGCTTCCGACAAACCGGCCACAATCAAACCTGCTTGCGAATCTTCCGCCACAACAATCCCGCCCACTAGATAATCGACCAATCACATGCACTTTATTCACTCGTGTAAACTCGGGCACCACTCGGGAGAATTCGGAAATGCAACGGTTGGAACAGCCGCTTCCTCACGACTTTAAGCGCCAAATAAATTGCCTTGGTAGGCTGGATTTGGCCCCTGGTCCTTTGTGACCTTTGCTGTGGGTACGACTGAGTGACTGCAATGTTTCACTTTCCCTATATTTACGGCTGCAGTACTCTACATGTGAAAGGTTGAAAGGCTAGCAGCTGCTTCCAGTGGTAACTGAAGACTTCGGGTATCTGAAAGTCTTCCTGCTGAGTTTATGCAGATGTAAGCACCCATCCATCCAGATCCCAACACAGCAGCCTCATGTTTGCCTCAGTTAGCTTGCATCTCTTCAGTCTTTGTAATTTCAATCACTGAGAACTTTACTCTGAGGCTGACACCAACAGAAAAAACTCACATCTTTTCTAAGGTGTTCATTCAGACTCCCAAAATGTCAACGCCTACTTGACAAAATAATTGCTCCCATTTCGCCACAGCGAGCGCAGAGGAAATGGTCTCAGTTGAAGGTCTGAGTCATCGGCTCAACAAAAGATCCTCCTCTAAAAGCTGCTGTGGAAGGAGAGCGTTTCACAGCCCCACAGAGCTTTGCATTCAGAGCAGATAAGACAAAACATTCTTTTACTGGCAGTTTATTAAGTAAATGAGTGGACTTAACATGAAAGACATTTTATTTTTTTAAACTAAGATGACAAAGGAGAGGAGGGCTGAGGTAGGGTAAATTTTATACACAGATTATATGTTCTAATTGAATAAAAATAGTCATGGCATCGATAATCTCCTCCATTTGTTTTCTTCTGAGGATTGTCAGTCATTTCTTCTCACTACTTTCAGCTCCTGGCTCTCTTTTACTTCTGCTCTTCTTGTTTTCTTCACATTATCATGTTAGCTCACAGTGGGGGCGGCAAAAAAAATCTGAGTGTTAAGCAAGCAGCCAAAGACAGTAGGTGACGAGGAACAAACTAGAGATAATCAGAGCGAATTATGCTCGCCTCATCTGCAATTACCTCCTGTTGCTATGACACAACTAAGCCAAATGACTGCCTCCCATTAGGCGTAATCACCCTCATGTGCATCCTGATAATATAGCTGGCTATCACAGAGCCTGGAACAAAATAATGACTTTCAGAAGTGGAGAAAGCAAAAAAAAAATTGGCCTTATTGTTTGTGACATGTGATGAAGATGGAGTCTGAACGGGTCAGATTGGAACCGCTGGTTAAACTAGTCATGTCCTAATACGGAGTATTAGGGCAGGTTAGATATATATATATATATATATATATATATATATATATATATATATATATATATATATATATATA